CACGCTCCATCTGAATCTGCCGGCGCTGTCGCAGAAACCGGGCGAGTGTGGGCCCCACGCGCCGCCAAACGGGCTGAAATTTTGACCGACGGCTCGCCGGAGGATGCCGGAGAGGATGGTTTGGGAGGTGAGAATTGAAGACTGCCGGAGACGTGCGACAAAAGAGAAACCTATAATTGACCCTAAACCTAGTCTGATACCATGTAAGAAAGTGGGAAAAATATGTTCTGTATTATTCACAAAGACATATACACATATATATAGATACATAGAAGGCCTAAACTTAATTTATTGTACAAGAAAACATTTAACATAACTAACATTCCTAATGTGTGCCTACAATTTCATTTTTCACCGAAATGAATATGAAATAGTTGTTGGTAACATAAAATGGCTATTAAGGTGTGTGTGGCCCCGTTAAAATATCTCCAGTAAATTTTTTTAACACAGTGTGAATCTAATAAGATAGGAAAAAAAAAATATTGCGCATCCAGGGAATCGAACCCTGGTCAGTACCGTGGGAGGGTACTATGATACCACTACACCAGATGCGCATGTGATGAAGTGCTAGATTTTAATCTTTTTTATTTGTTTTATAGATTTCCAAATCATAACTTTTGCATGGGCTACCTTGTTCGGCTTTTCTTTCAATTCTTGTTGACATAAATTTAAAAATATATTATTAAACTTGTACCAAAAAAAAAATATATATATTATTAAACAGTAGTCTTAAATTTAAAATATAGTATTAAATAATAATATGACTATTGTTAAACAATCCAATGACTGGACATATTTCAAATACAAATGCATACTTCTAGAATTAAATGACATATTCTTAACAACAATATAAGTAAAAATATGACATTTCATAATATCAATATACATTTTTGTTACACGGGTCGACCCACTTAACTAACTAAATATACTTTTTTTATGTTTGTTACATACGTACGACTTGGATTAGCTAGATTTCTCCCGGATTTATCCTTATTTCCACTTCCTTATATTTGAAAATTATGTTGTCTCATTACTCATTAGGCATGGCCAAACGGCTCATCTAACGGTTTCAAGCCGGACCTGGCAGCAAACCAACCCAACAAAAGCAACAGACCAGTTCCAAATGTGGGCGATTCTAGTTTCGGGCCAGCCCAGACAGGTTACTATCATTTTTTTTTAATTTTTATAGGCTAAAATTCCAATAAATAAAATATAATTAAAAAAACCATGGCGACTCGCGGGTTCCAAACTTTGGGTAAAATAATTGTATTTCAAATCTTTTGGGGTCCAACTGTATTTCAAACATTTTGGCACAGACCCATCTAGCCGGGCCCATAAGCATCAGGTCAAAATTAATTATATTTTACTACATTCAAATTTTTTGGCAAAACTAATTATACTTGTACGATATTTCAAACCTTTTCCTTATTAATTCAAAACAAAATTACTTTGTTGGCCAATTTACTTTAAATTGACCAACAAAGAACCTAAGAATTTGCCAACATTCTACAAAGACTATCAGCATTCCAATATACAGAATGCTGCATAAGTTAGCGGGTTCTTGTTAGCTGACAGATTCTTCCTAAGATAGCCTCTCCCGTAGTCCCGTTTCATGGTAACTAAACTCATGATGACCGCAACAAAATCATGAAATCTGTCAAAGTGAGCGACAAGGTACAAGGCTCGATCATAGGGGGGGAACTTGGCACCCAACCCACCGGCCCAAAAGCGGCAGGTCAAAGTTGATTAAAATTGAAATATAACCAGCACAAAATGTATTCTATTTGACCGGAACCAGCACGACCTTTATCACAAAAGTATCATCTCAGAATCTAAGTTTGGAAAAATAATTCAAAGCATAATTAAATCATAATTCTACTACACAACAAAGAATGTTTGAAACTCTAATTAGTGGGGTGCGCCAGTCCCCTGCAATAGTGCAACGCATGGGCAACGCTTGAAGGCCCAGGCAGCAAGCTACCTTATTGGGCCTTCTCCCTATCAAAAATAGTTGACATCTTGTGGGTCAGTGGCCCAATTGACACTGTCTATCTCTTTGTTTAGACAGTTTATATAATCACCCACGCTTATTATTTAGACAGAATGACTTATTTTTGTTTTCAATTATACCTTTTTTTGTGGACGGTTATGAGTTTTAATGAATTTGACTTCTTTTTTTTTAATTGATATGATAATCTTATCAATCCATATATATCTCCTCTCTCTGTTTTTACTCACGCTGGCACACCCAGAAACTGTTCATTCTATACCTTTCCGTCTGTTCGATTTCTTCTCGCCGATCATAGAATCGCCACATGACCAAAATCATACACAACGCATCACACAATTGATTTCAATGCCTCGCGCGCGAAGCCGTCAAATTCCGACAAGCTCAGAATATTCCCCCATTTTTCACCGGCGAATTGCTCTGGCCCCTTGAATAATCTGCACTTTTGGTCCCTTTTGCCGCACAACTCTTTAATTCAGGTTTCTCGAGCGAGAAAAAGGAGAAATTGTTTTATTTTTTAATTTTTTGTGAGTTGATTTATACATAGTTGAAAAATATAACGTGGATATGAAAATATAATTTATATGAAGATTGAGTGTGCAATGGTCAAATTAAAGTTATTTTCATGTTGTTTTAAAGTTGTTTTCATGTTGCTTTTTTAATGTTATTATGCTATTGTTTGTGTTATTCGGTATCCTGCTTCTTTTTTTTTTACTGAATGATGATTGTTTCTGTTATTCACTATCTTGCTTCTTTTTTGATTAAATGAGTCTTACTTGTTGCTGATTTTTTTTTTTTTCGTTCACACCTTATGTTAACTTTTCTTTTATTGATTATGTGAAAATTTCTCATGATTTTGTGTAATCTTTTTTTTTTTGGAATGCATTTTAGTAGATAGAAATAGAACAAAATTATGTTTTCATTTTTTTTTTTT